CATATTATGCCGCCTGATGGTATTTATATGTGAACATATGTGAAGTATCATCCGAAGAGCTTGGATGTAAAACGCTACACCCGTAAGACTCGTTTGAGGCGCTTCTACACCTATACTTACGATTCTGGCTAACTTCACTGTACACAATGCGACCGAGTCTTTTTTTCGGTCTTTTTAAATTTAGAAACACACATCTTAAGTACATGTCAGTCCCATTGTACCTACCCTAAAACCAATCACCATCCATTACCTTTACCAGTGAACAAATTGTTTTGTAATCGTTTAATAGCTATTGAAATTTAAAAATATATATAGACCGCCCGAAGGAAAATACTTTCATCGTAATAAAATTGTTTCCAATGCAAATATTCCAGTAAGTTTTTAGACAGTGTATGGCAATAATCGATAACCAACGTATTATTCGTTGCTTTTATTAGTCTTTGCAAACAGTAAAATTTCATCATTTTGTATTATACTAATATATTTATTTCATATATAAATAACTCTCTGACGTTATTCCATGTCGTAGACATAGTTCTTCTGATTGAAAAATAAATACTCGTTTTAATGAATGAGAATTATTATATTTTATTTGACACTGAATATGATCCATCATCAGCAAATGATATACATCACTCTATTGTAATCACATACTTCACAATTTTGTGAATTGTTTTTTTCATCAGGTATGCAAACTTTGCCGATGGATAATGTCCAGAACGGAGTCTATAAATTTTTACAATGTAAGAACGTGTACCCTTCACACAATTGCACCAAGGCACCAGGGGACAAATCCAGGTTCTTTCTTTTATGAATAAACTTTGTTTCGCTAGTCACATAAGAGTACAATAAAGGTAACATTTATGAGTAGCTGTTGTCGGATTTACAAGCAGGAGGACAACATCATCAATTATACATATATTTTGGCATTGTATGATGCCAAAATATAGTGATGTAGTGATGTAAATCAGTACGTTCGATAGTAGATTGTACCAGCGTACGTTTTATCTAACGACACGTAGGTCACGCAGTTGGTAGTACATACATATATATAGTCTTAGTAATTTAGTCTAAGCTAGAGTTAATGAAGATGTAACAGTTAGTATACAAGTTCCACCGTACTCTATCCTGTCTCTCACCACAGATCCTGTCATCAATATATTAGTTACCTTATGCTAAATAGGTCGGTAAAATTATGTTTTTTCAAATTTATATGGTTTATAAAATTTGTCCATAGAAGAAATGTTAATCTTATTTATTTATTTATACATTGCATTCCATGTTACAGTAGATAGTTATTAAGTTTACATTCTATATATATATATACTTAGATATTTATTTCCGAAATAATAATCACCTATGTTACGCATTATCTATCTGCGAGTAAAAGATCTGTCAAAATCGGTTTATCGCTTCAAATATTAGTAAGAACAAACAGACAGATAATTTTTTGTAGTTTTTTTTTGCAAATACCGTATACATTTAGTGAAAAGCACATAATTTGAATTTAGAATCAGACACTTAATTTTCAATTATTTGTAGAGATATTGGATGGTGTTTATATATAAATATGGACGGACTGTTTATACAGAGGTGTTAATGTTGGTATGTGTATGTAATTTGTATTGCTGCATATTTCTAATGAGTGAATAGCAAATATTGCACGTGTGAATAAGAAAATCAACAAACACACTAAATACATAACGTGTGAAATGTAGGTAATTCTACTTAATCGTAAAAATCGAAAGTGGATTTGACAAACAGACTAAAATTCGAAAAACACTTTTTTTCTCTCGGTGTCCTATCCTCATATATACAATTTTTTTTTAATTATTTCATGTACAAACACAGATCATTTACGACTTTATACTAATATCTAATAGACAATTCACACAGCGCCATCTAGTCCCAAGCTCAGCAGAGCTTGTGTTATGGGTACTAGATAACTAAAATATTGTATTTTATTGACTGACCAACGTAAATGTATCTATTTATTTATTTTTGTTGTTAATATTACAGTGCCTTGTGTGTGTGTGTGTGTGTGTGTCTTTAACGTAAATAAAAATTTATATATCTATCAAAAATACTTAGATACATTTTATAAATAGATATTATGAAATACACAGATCGATACAATAAATCATATTCGTGAACTAGCTTTTGCCCGCGTTAATTTATCCCCTTAGGGGTGGAATTTATCAAAATTCTTTCTTAGGGGATGCCTACGTCATAGTAGCTTTATGCATGTCTCAGCCCGATCGGTTTAATATTGACAAAGTTTTATACAAACTTTCATCCCCACTTTTATCCCCTTGGGGGTAGAATTAATTAAAATCATTTCTTAGCGGATGCCTACATCATAACATCTACCTGCATGCCAAATTTCAGCCCGATCCGTCCAGTGGTTTGGGCTGTGCATTGATAGATCACTATGTCAGTCAGTCACCTTTGAGTTACATATATTTAGATACAAATGTTTGTACTATGTGAGAAATCGAACCCACAACCGTGAATTATGGTGGTCTGCTAAACCTCTAGACCACTGATGCCATCATTATTATATGTATAACTATTGCATATCTAGTGATGTTTCTAAAGATCTTAATGTTAGTACAGACACTACACGTGAAAATTGTGTAACAAATGTATAAACACGCATCTCGTCATAAGTGTATCGTTTTGTTGATTATTTTCGCAACGGAACCTTGGAATTTGGAATGATGTTTTAGCGTCTGGTACTCGACAGAGTAAACATTGAGGTGTTGCCGTCATCATGGGGTACACGGATGCTCCTGACCTCGCAATGAACCCGAAAGGTTTCACAAAACAATGCCTATAAAAACCTGCTAAAATCTTTTGTCTAATGTAGACATTTTTAAAATGATCAATACACATATATATGTATTGTAAATACGAAAGTGTGTCTGTTTGATACCTTTACACAGTAAAAGACTAATCGAATCTGGAAGTAATCTTAATAATATAATAAATGCGAAAGTTTGTAAGTTTGTTACTCTTTCATGCACAAACTACTAAACGGAATTTGATGGAAATTTTTAGTAATATAGCTTATGCATCGGAATAAGACATAGGCTATATTTTATATTGAATTTTAACCGCTAGCACAGCTAATTTAACCTAAAGATGGATTGTATCAAGAGGATATTAATGTAATATATTTTTTTATGATAATGATTAATAAAATAATAATAATTATTACTATTATAACATTATAATTGATACGCATCATCCTACGCAAGGCTGGGGATGTTATATCAATGGCAATATCAAATTTCATTAAGATCCGTTCAGCCGATTAGTCGCGAGAAGACAACGAATTGGTACACACAGTTTAGCATTTACAATATCCATATTAGAAAATAAAAAAAACATATATTTTATTATTATTATTGCATGGCTACGAGATTCTTAGCTGAAAGACTTACCTACTCAATATTCAAAAGTGAATTTTCTAAACTTTTTTAATATCTATATATACCTACTTAATATTCAAAACAATGTGTATTGAGTTGGTACATATATGTATGATATTAAGTATATTTTGAAAAATAACCTTTTTTATTGTATGGTAAACTCTTCAAAAGACTCTATCCCCTTCAGAACGAAGACGAGAGGATCTGTGGTACTTACCCACTAATAAACCAGGTGTATCACATAGAATCTTGTTTATAGAAAAAATAACCTAGATTCTCTGTGTTCATTCAATCAAACAATAGTAATAAGGAAGGCCATTGTTATGTCTATCTAAAATTAACAGTTATTAACTAGTGACTATATTAGAATAATATTTTATTTATTTATCAACTTACCTATAATATTATTCCAAACAAACTGTTGACTTTAAACATCTTTGTTTATGTTCGATTGACTAATTCAAAATTCAAAAGTGCTTAGATTAATCTAATAAATTCAAAAATCATTTATTCAAATAAAGTTCATTTATTTGAATAAATGATTTTGTATTCTACTACGGCAGAAGCAATGGTGTACTTCTCCTTATACAAATAAAAATAACGGCTCTGTCCTTACTTCCTTATTAATATTATTAATACGAAAGTACCTCTGTCTGTCTGTCTCGCTTTCACGCCAAAAATACTGACTCGATTTAAATGAAATTTGGTACACAGATAGTCTAGACACTGAGAAAGAAGATAGGCTAGTTTTTAATGCGGAAAATGGGTTGTAAGGGGTTGAAAGGGGAGATGTAAAGTTATATGAAAGTATCGACAATTTACGCGGACGAAGATACAATATTTTATTCACCCTTTAGTCCCTCTAAAGGGTGAATAAAATATTGTATGGAAGTATTGTCATTTTTAAAGTTAGAAGCTTGAAACGGATTTTTTAGGCGGTTGACATTAATTTTCTATATAAATAAAATTAGAATGTCTGTTTGTAATATTGAAAATCCGTTTTTTTATTACATGCATATGAATATATGTGTGTATGTACCATACATACACCCAATGAACATTTTTTACAATTTTTGTCTGTCTGTTTGTTCCGGCTAATCTCTGAAACGGCCGGACAGATTTTGACGGATTTTTTTTGGCAGGTAGCTGATGTAAAAAGGAGTAACTTAGCCTAAGTTACTCCTTTATTTAAAAAAAATAAAGTTAAATACCACGAAGTCGCGAGGACAGCTAGTAGTTAGTAAGAATGTTAATAATAAGTAAACCCTTAAGGGAGTAAAATAAAATAGGGGATGCCAATGTGTATAGAAATTAAGTTCTCGGTTCAAAATACTTAAAATTTACATTCTAAACAACTTTTTCTCTAAAACAGCAACACGCAAGTTTCATCCTGATTGAAACTTGAACCCTTTGGCCTCTTGAGTATATCCATTTTTTTTATTTTGATCCCTATGGTTACTATCCTTACCGTCCAGTTCATGAGTTACTTTAATTAGGAAGAACTGGCAAGGTCAACTGGTACATTTATTTATGTTGAGATTATTTTTTTAATTAGTTGCAGTTTACCATAGATCATCCTCCGTAGCTCCTCTATATTCCGTTGCCTGGTAGCTGGTTCCTCATCACACAGGATCCTCGCTTCCTCCACAGACTCAGGGTCGTTGTGGCGATCCATCTCTGCCTTGAACGCTATCTCTTGGAACATCATTGTTGTTTACACCTGGAAACAAATATATGTATATATTATTAATCTATACATATAAATAAAATTGGAGTGTCTGTCTATATGTAATATTGAAATAACCGTTTTTTACTACATGCATATGAATATAAATACGGTACATACACAAAAATATTTTTTTTTACAATTTTTGTCTGTCTGTCTATTTGTTCCGGCTAATCTCTGAAATGGCTGGACCGATTTTGACGGGACTTTTTTTGGCAGGTAGCTGATGTAATAAGGTGTAACATAGGCTACTTTTATTTCAGGAAAATAAAGTTAAATTCCATGCGGACGAAGTCGCGGGAACAGCTAGTTTATAAATATATTACTTTGTACAAAGTATATGTGAAAGTGTCAAGGTCATTATAATAATAATATCCCTAGGTAAAACACAACACCATCTAGTCCTAAGTTAACCAGAGCTTGTTTTATGTTATACATATATAACTGATATATGTATATATATGTTGCCTAGTATGAGATATACAACTGATATAAATACATATAGGTATTTCTCTAAATATATACATATTATATATTACATAGAAAACACCCAGATCGACACAAACAATCATACTAATAATCATAATATTTGTACCTTGTGAGGAATCAAACTAGCGACTAATGCGAGTAAGGCTAAACCGCTACACCGAGTAATGGGGCAATAGTGTACTAAGTTGCAATAATACAAAAAAGCATCAACTTCTTTATCCAATAGTTGGTAGTACTAAGAGGTATTGCATAGATGGCGCTGCTTAAAATGCATGCAGAATCCTAGTTGGCGATGTTAAGATTTTTTCGCTCCGAATGACCTCCCCTCGGTGCGAATTGGTTGTTATCGCTTCTCGGCCTTTTGGCTAAGATCAAAGTGTAGTATCTGTTCTTTTCAGCTTAATATCTGAAAGTTCCCTCACTGAGGGACCAGTATATTAAACTGATTTTTGTAAACCGACGGGATGTTCGGGGCTCGCTCCACTCCCGTCACGGGTCGGCCCGGCATTGCAGTGCCGCCGGGATTGGCCCACATAATTCACACACAATCCTACTACTCGCACCCTCAGCAACCACCAGTACGGGGGTAGTCTACACGTCGTACGCTTTGTATACAAGCGTACGACGTGTAGACAAATCCAAAAACGAAATGAGTAACCCAGCAGCACCTACCGTACGATCGATGTACCGGGTTCAGACAATCTATTACAGCTACTTGTGTTCATTGCACTATAGATTTTTCTCATACTTAACAATTACATATTAAGTACTAAAAGGATTTTTTTTTATTATTAGAAAAGGGCTCCTGAGCTGATGACCGTCTGTCTGGTGGTGGTAATCGTACCGTGCTATGATTCAGCAGTAGCTTAGCTTATTCTAATGGTCGAGCGCAGTAGTGGCTGGCTCATCCGTCATACTCGTGAACGGGTGCTGCTTGTGTGGACTGGTCTGCTCTAATCACTATGACTTATTTTCTCTTATTAATTGTTTAACCAGTTTTTGTGTATTGAATGTTTTTTTTCTATTTTATTATTTCATTGAACTAGTGCTAATCGGTAGTTTGTATTCACACACTTAAACTTAAATTGTAAGTAAGAATAAATTATTTAAAAGAGCAACACACAAGTTTCTTGCTTGTTCTTCTGAATGAGCGGTAGATTAAAAAAAAATGTTATGACTATTCAAAAGTGCTTCAATGTAAGTTTATTTGAATAAATGATTTTCTATTCTATTCTATTAGTTAGTTACTAACTAGTTGGAACATTTTGGTTACTGCTTCCCTCTTAAAACATGTAGTGTGAAGATATTTAAAATAACAATTGTTAAAGGCATAAAAACTTCATAATTCTGGCCGAGGCCGTCATATCATAATTTTAATGGTAACTATATTTGAGTTTAGTTTCAAAATTTTTTGCAACCTTGCAACTGTTAGAATATAATGAACAGTTAACAAGCTACTTGCGAAAAGCATTGCATAAAGAAACGATAGTCTTGCAGGTCTAATGTTGATCTAAAAATAAGTATATTTGTATATTCTTGGACCATAAAAAAAATGTAGAAATGATACTCCATGTCACAGAACAAAGGTAGGAATGAACTTCTGGTGTTTCAATAACTCGGACTAAACGCAGTATGGACAACCAAAAGTGTGACAAACACTGTGACACCATGATAGCTTTCTTATATTGGTGGGAGACGGTTGTTTTTTTTTAATGATAATAAAATGATACACCCACTTACGCTAACGGTTTACGCTGGCGGGGCACCAGTGGAGGATGATAAGATGAACATGAAGTTGGGTCCGTTAGGCCACTGTAACAAATTCACCAAGGTTCATGATGGTTTCCAGGGGGAACTGAGTGGAGGTCAACCTGACATGGTACATTGCCAGCTATGGGTCCATTAGTCCACATGACTAACCATCCCATTCCCCCAGAAGAGGGTTGATAACAATGGGAATTAGTGGCCCCATTTTGCAATGTCATGTCAGGTTGACCGCTACGCGATTCCCTTCGGAAACCATCTTGGGTAATTTCTGGTGAATTTACCATGATAAGTTGTCTGACCTGACTTCATCCCATCCCTAATTCAGCCCATCTTATCATCCTCTACTGGTGCCTCGTTTCATTGCAGGTGGATCAAATACCTCCAAAACAATATTTATTTCTTCATTCTAAGAATTTATATCTGCGCAGTTTTTCTGTTCTGTGGTTACAACCCATTTTTCCTCAAATTTAACAATCGAATTAATTATACACTCGACATGAATCCGTAATAATAATAGAATATATTTACAACTAGCTGTTCCCGCGACTTCGTTCGCGTGGAATTTAACTTTATTTTTCTAAAATAAAAGTAGCCTAAGTCATTTATTATATCAGAAAAAAGTCCCGTCAACAAACAGACAGAGATTAGCAAACAAAAAGACAAAAATTGTGAAAAATGTTATTTTGGTGTATGTACCGTATTTATAATCATGTGCATGTAGTTTTCCGGTTATTTCAATATTACAAACAGACACTACAATTTTATTTATATGTATAGATTTATAAGTAGTTTTTATATCATACAAATACATAATCAGTTACCTAAATTTTGAATTTAAATAATTTTCTTGAAGTCATTGCGATCATTTCCAGTGACAGAATTAAAATCGATTTTAATTCTAGTTCTTTTGGGTTTAAATTTATGAAATAAATTGTATAGTCATATTTTGATTTTGTTATAGCTAAGAAAAATTTTGAGATGATAAAATACACTTGGCTGTATGATCTTGTACTTATGACTTTCCACACATATAGGTATGATCTTCACATACTATTTTTCTTTTTTTTATACTACTATATTGGCAGTATAAAATTATTTATTCATATAGGACACTTTAGCCGTTTATGTACTTTTTTTTATTAATACCATTTCCGTACCTACACTAATAATAGATATAGTGATCAATAGGTATAAACCTTTTATATGTATAATATATGTATACTCGTGCGAAGCCGGGGCGTCTAGCTAGTTGTATAATCAAATAAATCAAAACTGAACTGTACCGTTGTTCTTTTTGATGGATGCGAGGCCCTTGAGTTTGGTGAAAGTGAGGTGAAAGTTATGTCTATGATGAAGGCTTCCTTCATTATCAATACACTTAGATTTTTTTATATAATTGAAAGGCAAACTGACCGCCAACCTAATGGAAGTGTAATCTTCATCGATGTACATGAACAGCATCATACAATGTCATTCTTGAGGACTAAGGTGCCATGCATACGTACCCTGTCATTTAAGTATCAATATCCATAAATAAACCGCTTTAAAGCATGATAAAAGTAAACTAAATTAAAATTTTTTTTTCGGACTACTCTATGTAAAGTGCGAATACTGTAACTACCATATAGTAATATTTGTAGCTGTGACGTGGTCGTGTGGAATGAGTAGTCATGCTCACTAAAATGTCCAGACATGTGGCGGCGTGGTGGGCCGGGTCAATGGGCTCCCTAAAATATGGTCGAGCGCAGTGATGGCTGGCTCATCCGTCATACTCGTGAACGAGTGCTGCTTGTAGGGACTGGTCTGCTCTTATCACTACAACTGATTTAATCTTATCGCATATTTATATTTGACCCAAAAAATTAGTGCTTGTTGGTAGTTTGTATTCACACGTTTCGACTTGTAAATGTAAACTTACAAGGATTATTTAAAAGAGCAACACACAAGTTTCTTGCTCGTTCTTCTTGTGATGAGACAGCTTTCCGAACGAGTGGTAGATAAAAAACAAATTGTTATGACTATTCAAAAGTGCTTAAATTAAGTTTATTTGAATAAATGATTTTCTATTCTATTCTATTCTAATGCAGTTAGCCGAAGTTGGTCTTCAGCTTCACCGGACGATAGGAGGCGAGTGCAGATGGCACTCCAAACCAGCGAAAGGACTCATGGAGCAGCTAAAGGCCAACTTCTGCAGACAAAATGGGTGACTTGGTTAACATTTGAATGAATTAGATGGTATTTTCCGTAAATCCATTTTATAACTAAATGTGTTTACATTATCTTGTTTAATTCCGTGCGAAATTTCACAAATAATTTTAATTAAACAAATACTTATTTAGTGCGCTAACCTGGTCGCTGCTCTATTTATATTCTAGTATTATATATTTATTTATACATTACAACCTTACCAATTAGTGATCAAGTTCCGACTTATTATTTATCAATTGTGGATTGATAATTTTATTGCTAGCAATGTACCATGTCAGTTTGACTTCCACGTGTTTCCCCCTGGAAACCACCGTGATAACTTCTTTGTGAATTTGTTACGATGGGCTAACTGATCTCACCTCATATTATCATCTTCCACTGGTGCCCCGCCAGCGTAAACCGTTAGCGCAGGGGGGTGTACCATTCCATTATCATCCATAAAAAGGGATCTATACCCATATTACGACGAGTCTAAACTAGGAATCATACAAGGCTACACACAAGGCTTACTACAGTCTATAATATAAATT